GGGAAGAGGTGGGCGGTGGATCAGGCCGCCAAGCTCCTCTGGATCTCACACAGGGTTTCTATTACCCTGCCGTGTACCCAGAGTCCCCACGAGATGGATGTGGAGTCCTCTTCGGCTTGGGCGGAAACCGCTCAAGCCTCTTATACGGCTAACAAGCCAATCGTTAGCCGCCACGTGTGAATAATTTAGCACTAGCCAATCACGGGGAACGAATTTGCATACCGGTGGCGGGAACTCTTTTGCACCGTGCATTCCTCTTGCAACTCAAGCAATGCACTCTGCAAAAGAAGCTGCAGAAAAGGCGGGAAACTCGTCCCTGCACCGGGGTTTCCTCTTGCTACAGGAAACTCTCCGGTGCAATGCTCTGCAACTTGGCGGGGATAATTCTGGTGCCGAAGCACACACACAATCATGCCTTTTGGGTCATGACACAAGGCATGAGCTGTGGCCTAGCAATGCCGCTGACCACAAGGCAGAATGATAGCTAAGCCTTTGCTTGTGTCAAGTAATCATTTTCACTGTGTTAAACATTTTCTAAGTAAAATGCAGCAAGCAAATCTGTGTCTGTGCGCTGGAAAATCAGTTACAGCAAGAAGCAAAATAAGACAAAGAAGCCATTGTTCTAAGTACAGTGATCGTGTCCTTAAGAAGTATCTACTACTGTGCAAGGTTTTGCTAACATATCATAACGTTACTGTTACTTAACTTTTAGCTTTTAAAAAGTACTAGTTCAGCTTAATAGAAATATGCCGTTACAAAGATTTGTAAAGCACCGCCCAATTATTACTTTTTGTTAACCCTGTAGTCTTGTCTTATTGTAAAAAGTATAAAAGATCGCCCCACCCTTGAGGGCGGGCCATTTTGCCTTTTGCTGGCTTTATAGTCTTTGCACGAGCAAATAAATGACTGTCAGTTCTTTACCCGCGTTATCTAGCCCCTATTACAGCTAGATAACAAACTTTAGGGAGTTTTCTCCCACCACACTTGGAGATCAGGAGGGGAGGAGAAGCAGCTGTTCCTTGTGCATTCCCAAGATCAGGGTGCTCCAGTCTGGGAAAAGTGTGGGAAGCCTTTCCCTGCTTCTCCACTCCCTGCCCCCAGACCAAGAGTGAAGTACCCACCAGTAGCTGCAGGCTGGGATGCCTGTACACTCCCTCTCTCAGAAAGATTTCTTCCCCACTTAGCATTCCTACCTTCCCAGAGGGACCTCTCTTTCTAACCCGATGGATTGATTGAGATCACTGAAATCACTCATCTGAGTAAGTGAGTATCGTATAGCATACCTTTCTTTCTAAGAGAAAGACCTGTCTTATGCAAAACCACTATCTTATTTATGATCACTCATTGGCTAAATCATTATTTTTTAAAGTAGTTCCTTCCTGCTCTCTGATTAACATTCAAAGTATCTTTCCTATTGCTGATGCCAACTAAGTCAACAATATATTATATTAACTCTTTTAATTGTCCATGGAAGAGTTCTTATGTGTAGTATCTGCAGAGTGAGTCCTCTTGAGTAGAAACATGCACTTCTCTGCAGACAAACAGCAGTGGCACAATATGTGCTGCAGCTACTTGTCCTTGGGGAATACCCATGCATGCACATGGTGGCATGTGGCATGTTGCCCCAGGTGGGGTATGGGAGGCTAGGACCAGCACCTGGGTTGGCCCCAGAAGCCTACCTGGGGTCCAGGGGCCTCCAGGAGCTGCAGCTGCACTGATCTGGCAGCAGGGAGCCTGGCCTGCAGGCAGTGTGGCTCTGGATGGCCAGGCATTAGTTTTGTGCGGCATGTACTGCTGCCACATGTGCTGCCCCGCTTTTTTTTAGGCACAGGAGGTTTTTTACACCAGGATCTTCCTATGTCAACCCCCTTTACCCCGCCGCTGAAAATTAGCAGTACTCAGAATGCCTGCATGTGTGATGTGTGTGGTGCTGCAGATGAGTCTGTGGAGCTGCATACCACATGTGCTCGCTTGTCTGGACACACCCTGTGTATCCTTCTTATTTCCAAATACATTTGTAACTTCTACAGGGTCCTGTAATCCTGTTCATATCCGTATGAAAGTGGAATGCTGCTTTGGAAAATTTCAGCAAAGAACTTAGTTAAGTCATTGTCTCTTCCCTATATTTCCTCAGCAAGGCCCTTTTGCTAGGACTCCAGTAGGGAGAGCAGGGCTCTCCCCCACTCTCCCCACAGTTGACATCGAAATATTGAGGCAGGTAGAAAAGCCTAAATAGCTATATTAAGATAGTCAATATCCACACTTAAATTAATTCTGCTTAAACCAGGGACCTGAATCCTTACAGGAAAGTGTGCAAGGATTACTAGCATGAATAAAGGTTGCAGAATCAGACCGTAGCCTGCCTCTAGGCAAACAACATTCAGAGGTCTAAAACAAAGGAGCAAA